ACCCACAATAATTATTAAAAAATATAATTTTCTAAGAGTAGATCCCACCTCTTTATGAGAGTAAAAAGATATAAATTATGTCATTTAAAAAGATAAACATTTTTTCCTTTAAATAATAGGTGTTGATGAATGTTTTCAAAGAATAAGGAAAATTTAAAGCGTGACTTTTCTGTTCCTTCCTTCCTTTTTATTTGTTTCTGCAAAAGGAATTGAAAACAGCTGTAAAATAAATTGCACCAATCAGCAATATATGCAATTTTACGCGAATGGTTTGAATGTCTAAAAGTCTCAACTGCAGTGGCATATTTACCCGGATAGCCGCTTCTCTGTCCGGATAGATAATTTAAATATTTTTCAGATTTTTGAAGTATATTCAGGTATCTTTCTTTTTATTTGGGTAGGGTAAAATTTTTTAAAAAATATCCGAGTAAGGAGAGGGATATCCGAGTAGACTTGATTATCAACGGTTAAATAAGTGCAGATTGGTGTTATATTTTCTAAAGAAGTTAAATTTTGAAAATAATTATAATCAAGATCAATTTAATAATTAATTATTAAAAAATAATTACAGTGGTCAAAAAGCCGCAAGGTCCACGGTAATGTTAGTGGGCTTACTCTTTAGAAAATTGAAAATAATGACCTCGTTTTGTTCATGCACGAGGACATGGCAAAGTGTACGATAACGTTGGTCCATATAAATAAGTTATTTTATTTATTATTTTTTTGGCATCTATTTATTTTATGTTATATGAGATAATTATCTCATCTAACAGATATAAGATAGTGGAATTTATTATTTTTTAAAAATTAAAATTATTTTATCTCTGTTGCATTAGATAATTATCTCATGCAACATGAAATAATTATTTCTCTATTTTTTTATATCTTTTTGACATATCAATTTTCAAATGTTGTTAAATTAAAATCTCGTTCTGATCTAACGAAAAATCTATAGGTAAAGTAGGATAATAATTTTAGTGATTCAGAACCACAAAAATTTAATAATCCTTCTTCGAAAATGTGAAAAAAAAATTCCACTTTATTTATATTTTTATTCATGTCCCACATTTTTTTAAAGGGAACCACTAAATTTTTGTTATCCTTAGATCACGGAAATTTCTCTGTAAATTATTTATGAAAAAAAATAGGGAAAATAAAATATTGGAAATGAGGACAAAAATGACGTGGCAAAAGGTAGAATAATAATGCTAGATAGTTGGCAGCTAGAAAAATCTAAAATAATGAGCGCGTTTTCCTCGTGCATGAGCAGTCATTTCAATCGTTCTCCGGAATATAGAAATCACCACGTTACGCTCACGCTTCACCACACAATTTCTGGAGTGTGGTGCAGGGGAGGCAGAGAATAGATATATTCTTTATTTATTTCTATTTTTCGAAAGTTTTTTAAAAATATATATATCATAACATAATTTATTTTTATTACCATCGAGATATCAGAGAATATCTAATTAATAAATAAAATATTTAATCTTGATAATATATTTTACTTTTTAAATAAAATAAATAATGTTGGTAAAAAATTTTAAAAACACTTTTTATTTATATCAATTTATGTTTCTGATTTATGGGTTATTTTTTAAATAGAAAGATATTTTTTTTATAAATAAAAGTTTATGTGAAGTTAAACAATCTCAACAGGTTTAGGTCCTTTAGGACACCCGGTCTTTTTGAGAATTTATAATAGAATTTAGAATAAAATATCTTTTGGGTTCTCAATAATCAATTTAATTCGTGAAAAAAAAAATGACTTGTGATTCATTTGAAATTTAAAATAGATTCATGTGAATCTTTTTGAGGAATTAACGTGAGTCTTTTTTAAATTGTAGAGGAACCACAATTTCGACTAGCTGAGTCTATTTTGAATTTTAGAAGAATCACAAATCAATTTTTTTAAGAGATTAAAATGACCCCTATAATTTTTGTTGAGGACTCAAAAATTACTTTACTATAGATTTTATCAATAAATTTCTCACATTAACAAATGGGATATAAACTCATGCCTTCGTGAAAACAATAAAGTAATATTATATCTACTCTTAATTTATTAAAATTTAAAAAGATATAATTTTACATGCTCACTTTAAAAGAGTTTTTTAATAAGTATTATAAGCACTTTCAAAGCACAATCAATTTTTTATTTTGATACAAGCAAGAATTAATATATAACTTAATATAACGCACCTAAATTTTTCATTATTAGATTAATCTTAATGGTTTAAGCATAATCAATTTTATATGTATAATTTTTTAAATGTAATTATTTAAAAACTGCTTATATTTAATTTGAGTACCAATAAGGAGCCAACTCCTTTGAAATTACTTAAATCTCTTATTTTAAAGTAATTTCTTATTACTAGCGAAAACTTAAAATATTGATACTTAACAAATATTGATGACTATGGAAATATAATAGACTCCAAAACAGTTTTTGTTAGGGTAAAGTGTGTATCATTTTAAAGGATGTAAAGTTGTGTCATTTTAAGTGAAAGAAAGAAATAGATAAAGGAGAAGAAAGTGAACAAAAAAAAATAAAAATCTGGATCCCACCTCTTTGTAAGAATGAAAGGATATAAATTATGTCATTCAAAAGGACAAACACTTTTCCCTTTTTGTTATGTTAAAAGGACGGGAAATACAAATGGCTCGTTGATGTAAATTAGGCCACACTGCAGAATCTACAACATGTATGCTTATCCTTTGATTTGGGTCGGTTCTTGTTCCTGTGTTGTTTCCTTTTTGGTCCACACTACGTTTTCATTCAAATGAGAAAAAAATTGGTGCTCCGGGACATCGAACTCGATATTTTTTTTATTAAAAAGAAAATTTTTCTTTCCTTTTTTTTTTTTACATTTTTTAAAAAAAATTATTTTTTAATAGAAGTGAGCACCAAATTTAATGCTCCGAGGGTACAAAAGTTTTTGTCCGTTCAAATCTGCTTAGAGAAATGTTTATGAGGAAAACAGATAGCGAGTAAATTGGAAACGTGGTCGACATTTGTGCCGTATTCTGGGGACCAATTCTATTCTTGCCTCAATAATACTCTCTTTTTAATTGAAATTCCAAAGTTAGCCCCGTATTTTAGGAACAATGATCAAAATATTATTTTTTTGACAAAAATTTGATCCAAATATCATGCGAACAATACGTGGGCGTAAATCACTACGACTGATAGCAGATTATGTTTGCCAATGATTTTATGACATGTGGTATATTTTCGCAGGAAAAAATTGATGTGTCATAATTTGCTACCAGTGTTAGCGAATTTGGTCTGCAATATAGCCACGTGTCATAAAATTATTAACCACGAAATTGGCTAGTAGTGGTAACGAATTATGACACATGACAATCTGATAAAAAATATTATTCGCGTGATATTTGGATAAAAAATTGAGGGAGGATATTCTTACTACCAAATTTTTTTACTACCAACTTACTACTCATCTAATCACCATTGGATCAAAGAGAGAGAATGCTAAAAAAAATTTGAAAAAAAAGAAAATGTTAATCCAATGATGATTAGATATGTAATGAGTTGATAGTAGAAAATTTTGATAATAATAATATCTTTTTCCTAAAAAAATTGAGTAAAAAATGACATTTTATTAACTGTTGCATACTTTTAAGCTTTTACTTTTGAAGGACCACAAATATAATTAGATGATTTGTACGATACGACAGCTCACGCACCAACCTCTCATATTCACAAGTTTTGCAAGTTTATATAATATATTTTTTTGTGAATTAAGTGTACGTCGTTTTAAAAAATATAAGTTATGGGCTTTTAATTTTGTACACTATAAATTTGAGTAGTATATAATTATAGAAAAATAATAATTTCATATTGCATAAAAAAATTATTTTATGTCATACATCCATAGAATTTCGTGTTAATTTTTTATTTTTATTTTTATTTTTTAAATTGTAGAGCTCACGTATTTGTGTCTCCCACATGAGAGTACTATCTTATATAACATGAGATTAATAAATCACATTCTCCACATCAACTAAAGTGATTGAGGAGAGAAAAAAAATAATTTTTCATATATTACTCGTGGTATATAATGTTAAAAATTAAAAAGACACAACTTGTATCTTTTAAAAAGGAGAATATATTTTTTATACATCTATGGTTCATCAATTACCTGTTATTTCCTGTTATTTCGGCTGGAACACTATGGAATTTATTATTGAGGCGTCTCTCACAAAATTATTATATCTATATGCGATGCTCAAACAAACTCCAAACTTATAAGAAAAAATTGTATTATTTCAAGGGTTCGTTTTTTCTACCGTCAATGTAGATAACTTATCTACAGTGAGATCAAAGCAACGTCGTTTTGAAGCGGAAATTACGTTATTTTTGTAATTATAATGTATTTCAGGGTTATAATAGTCTTTTTTATTATAATGTTTTAATTTTTTAACTCAAAATAACGTCGTTTTGGGAGCGAATATAGATAACTTATCTATTCACTGTAGACACATTAAAGCCGTATTTTAAAGTATGTTTATAAGAAAAAGGGGAAAAAGAATATCATTTAAAAGAACACAAGTTGAGTCCTTTTAGATGATTTACACAAAGTATGACCGGTCATATTCTGTATAAATCTAAAAAGCTATTTTTTTTTCTCCTCAGTCATATCGCTGACGTGTAAAGTGAAAAAAAAGAAGTAACTTTTAAGAATTACATAGAATATGACACTCTGTGTAAGTCACTAAAACAACACAACTTGAGTCCTTTTGAATGACACACACTAAACCCTAAGAAAAATATACACGATATTATTAAATTTATTTTTAATTTAATTTAAAGAGGAGGGATATTTTGATGTCAATGTAATACTAAGAGGTTTAAATTTATGTAATATTTTATTGAATTATACCAATTCATTTATTAAAAATTAAGTATAAATTAATATCGTTGGCCGTCTATTTAAAGAACCAAAGTCTGTCGCAAGAGTATCTTGTGCTAGGTAGAAGCAGTAGTGAATACAGTGATGAAAATGAAGGTAGTTATTTTCTTCCTTGCTACAATTGTAGCAACATGCCATGCTGCAAACTTCCGAATTTTCCCTCTCCAAATGAAAACTGGTTTAGGTGCACACTACCCTCCGAAAATATCGTGCGCAAGTTGGAGGCTTGGTGTGGAAGCACACAACTTGATTGGCTTCACAACTATTCCAAAAGAATGTGAAGAATTTAACGGAGAGTACATGCTAAGTGAACAATATAGATCAGATTCCAAAACTGTTAATCGTGAAGCTTATTATTATGCTAGGGACCTCGAAATCGCTTCAAATGACATTTGGGTTTTTGACGTAGATGAGACTGCAATCTCCAATCTTCCCTATTATGCCGAGCACGGATTTGGGTATATATATGCTCTTTTCTTTTCATTTATGCACACTTGTTTTTAACTTTTTGGTATTTGCATTGAGGAGGATTATAGTTACAGATTTTTTTTTTTTTTAAACTTACAAATTATATTATGTCTTACCAACAACACTTCACTCAAGAACATCTTACTGGTAAGACATAGTGTAGTTTGTAAACAAAAAGTCTGTAAATATAACTTTCTCTATTTACATTTATTTATCATATATGTTCAACTATTTTTGGTATATGTTCAAATATATATTAAGTTGGAAATTTAAGTGTGAATAAGGAAATCTCACATGGATTAAAAATAAATGGAATGACATAAATTTAATTTAATGTGTTACAATTTTTTTAGTAAATGAACTACATAATCACTCTCAGTCTAATAAAAAGGACAAACTAAGCCTTATTATTGTGTATAATACGCTTGTCTCTGTGTGTGTGGGTATTGTGGACCTTTTACATTCTTGTTCAATATTCTTAATGTATTTTATGAAAAAATTTAACTTTTTTTTTTTTTTTTATATTTGGCGGTAGGGTGGAACCATTCAACTCGACGGCGATTGATGAATGGATTGAACTTGGCGAATTACCAGTGCTGCCGGAGACTATTAAGCTGTACAATAAACTGTTGTCACTTAACATCAAGATTGTATTCTTAACAGAAAGATCATTGGTTCATGAGAAAATAACTGCTGAGAACTTGAAGAAAGCTGGATACTACACATGGGAAAAGTTAATTGTCAAGTAAGATTTTTTTATTTTTTTTAAAGAACTTTTTTATCATTCTAAGATTGTTTGTATACAGTTCATACTTTAAGCCCATCATTAAAATAACAATAGCTAGGCATCATATTTATTAAAAATAACAATGATAATCTACCTAAGAAGCATAATCTCTTTTTTGTTTGGAATCCAATGAAAGTCAAACACGACACACACTACATTCCACACATCACTGGGCTAACCCTACTGGTTCTAAGAAGCTTTAATAATATTAATCATGTGAACAACAATGCACTTAAGTTTAACGTCAACAAGTATCTTACGATGAACTAATTTGCCCACTTAAGCGTGAAAATGTCAAGCACTTATTTTTCTCACCCTTTTTAATTTTATCTTTTCAGTTAAGATAGTGAGTTGTTATTATTTTCTTAATACTTTTTTTTAAGTTATTTTTGTAATACTTTAAAGTAGTTTTTTCACAATTATTTAAAATTAGAAAACTCATAGTAAATAAAGTAAAAGAATTATCAATTGTTCATATAAATAATGAATTTGGTTTTTCTTATGGTCTATGGAATAAAAGATAATAGAAAAACATGTCTTGAATTTATAGAGCCTACATATAATAATTTATTAAATGTCATAAATTGGATGATACATGTCTTATAACTAAAAGATAATTAAAAACATTCTAAACAAAATTTATATGATTAAAAACATTAACGCTAGTGTGTGTCTGGATTCTCATTTGAAAAGTCCCGCAATCATTAAAATAAATTTTTATTAGATTAGATCCACTGAAGTGAGGAGACGTTTGGTAGAGTAGAATTTATTTTTTTGTATCCTAAAATTTCAATTTTCAGAATTATGACGAAGACATTCAGTTTATGATAATATTCGAAAATTAAAAATTTAAAAAAATTAAGTTTATCAAAAATCATAAAAAATATCTTGTACCAAATATCCGTAGAATGTAACACGTGAAAAAAATCACATAATCTAAATAAAACAGATTTAATTATGTTTTTGTTCAGGTCCATATGATATAGTAAAAATTTATTCTCAATCATGGTTTTAGCCAAAAGTATTGTGGACGTACAAAAATTAAATGCGCTCTGTTGTCTGGTGTGATTAAAGAAATACAAGAGGACAAAACAATTGAATGAGATAGGACTGGGCTATCGCTAGGTGAGGTTATAAATACAAACTTAAATGCCACATTCATAAAATAAATAATGAGTAAGAGGACAAGTGCTCTCATGAATAAAATTAAATATGAAATGGAATAATTGAGTGAGGGAAGAGTATATGCTCCCGAATAATAAGAAACAAATATGTGGGTTGAGATTTTTTTCATAACAATGTAATGGATAAGGTTTTGAAGGTTCAAATAAAAAAAGGTTTCCCTTATATAAAAAACAAATAATCTGTGGACGCAGGGATAAATCGATATACGCAGGCAAAACATCACAAGAATACAAAACAGCAGAGAGAAAGAAGCTGGTGGAAGAAGGATACAGAATCATTGGAAACACAGGAGACCAATGGACCGATCTTCTGGGAAAACACAAAGGAGATAGAACCTTTAAGCTGCCTAATCCAATGTTCTACATTCCCTGATCCAATGTAGTACATTAGTTAAGCTCCATAGCCTGTTGTTTTCTTGAATAAGATATGGAGACTCTGAACCTATCGTCACTAGTTATGTTTCTTTAACCGTTGTGCTGTATGTATGTGAAGCAAATGTCACTTAAGAGAGATTACACGACGTTGTTTTCTCTTTTATGATTTTAATGAATTGTTTGTCCTTGTTCCCTTTAGATGTTCGGCGTAATAAGTTTGTTTACTTGTGTTCTTTCAAAAATAAGGTTATATTTACCATCTATTTTTGTTTATAATCTTTTACAATCATAATTTTAATCGTTAATTTTCGTCAATCAACGATTATCATTTATTGTTAATTAATAAATTTAATTTACGAAAATAATAACCGTTGATTGGTGAAAATCAATGGTTAAGATTATGGTTGTAAATAAAAATAGGTTGTAAGTATAACCTTCCTTTTTTTAAAAGTAAAACAATATTTTTTAAGTAAAAAATGTATAAAAAAAAATTAAGATAATTAGATCAGCTTTTTTGAAAAAGAAAATACAACACAGTAAAGGTGCCTTTCCAATAAAATAAAATAAAAAATTAACTTTAAAAAAGAAAGTCATAAAAATAAATTATATAATAAAATTAATTCTTTTAAAAAAAATCTAAATTTAAAAAGTTCAATTATCCATGTCCCTGAGTTTTTTGGTTTTATTTTCTAATAGAAAATTTTAAAATTAATAATGAAATCTTGTAAATACGCGAGTGATAATAAAATGTGTTGAGCCCAATAGCCCAACCCGAATAACTCGACATTGGGTTGGGCTTTAAAAATTGAAAAGGATAATTTTAATCCGACTTAATTCAGTTAAATTTAGTCTGGGCCAAAACGAGCTGGTCTATAAGCACAAAATTATTATAATAATTACTATAATTAGTATTTTTATTTTATAAAGTTAACTATATGTTATTTAAAAATAAGAATTAATATATTTTAAGTTAGAATTAATTTTAAATTTTTAATATAAATTAATTCAAGATTGCAATAAAAGTTAATTAAATAAATTATTTAAAATTAACAATTTTAGATTATAATTGTTTAAATGAATAAAGAAAAATGTGAATTTAAAAGGAGTTGGCGACAGAATTCAACAATCGAATTGATATACACATATGAAGTCTATGTCGGGGCGGTAGCGTGGTGTGCCATATAGATGTAGAAATGTTCCATAGCTCCGGTACGAAAGCCGCTTTCATATCTGGATTCTAGTGTCATTGTTTCACCCTTAACTTGGTATTGAGTAACAAATGGACATTCCAGCAGCATAATCTTTCTCATTTCGTGCTTTCTTTCCCTTTCCATATTTTTGTGTTATGATACATAGAGTCCATCCTAATTAAATTAAAACTAAAAATCTTATGAGTAAAGATATATTACAATATATATAGGAGAGAAATATTTTGATTCCGTTAGAAGTCTTACTTCCTATCTTAGTTTTTTATTTCCGTTTATCTAACGGTTATAATTTATTGAGTTATATCAATTAATTAATTATTAATTTTTTTAGTACAATTAATTATTGAGTTATATCAATGACTAAGATGAGAAGTAAGACTTCTAAATCTTCGTCGTCAAAAGATCTCTTCCTATATATATCAATAACTTAACCTAGAACTTTTGTTAGTAGGAATTATGAAGACTAACCTCTCCATACAAAGTTGCATTACCAACACTTAAATGCAAATGAGTTGTTGCGTAGATCATATAACCACTATTTTTCATTGGGATTCTTATTTTTTGGACATGGAAGGAGTCTTCTTTATCATTTGATGGAATAGTATAATCTGTTTGTAATAAGGGAACTATTTTTCTTATGTTGCATAAGAAAAAACAAGCTCGCGGCAGACACAAATCTTGTGTGGGATTCACTTTAAATGTTTTCTCTCTTCCTTTTTCTCTCTTATTCTTCCTAGTGTCTTTGCTGGGAAAAAAAAATTATACAATATAAAACAACAAGCCTCAATAAATTAAGACATATATGTTACCCCCAACAAGGTACACTTACAGATTAATTATTGGGAACCATTTGATCTAATTTGGTCGGTCGAATCAAGTATATAAAACTTAATAAGAATTTGGTCTTAGTCTTGATCAACCCTTCTTATTTTGTATCTTAACGAAAGCTTTTTCGTTGGGCCTTGAAAACCCTATTTCATTTTGCGTTGAAAATTGTCATGGCAACAAAAGAGTCATCCCTTATAATATAGGCTCAATGGTTTGCCATAAATACCCTTTGTGACATTAAAAAAAGTCCTCCAGGAGGATAAAAAGGTTACATTTGCATTGAGTACAACTTTTCTTATCTTATGCACCACGTGTGTTAATGGCCAATAAGTTGAATAACAATTTCTTTTCGTTACCATCTAGAATTTTAGCAGGATCACCCAATTCTACCACAAAAGGATCTGGAATGTCATAAGGTGTTCCTTGTGATTCAACTCCAAGGCCCTAATAATGTGGAAGAATATAATCGTAATATATACCTTCGTTTCTCTTGAAAATAAAACCTTCATAGGTAACGATAGGATCCTCTCGGTTGAGTGACATTGTAATATTTTCAAAATATCTTATAGCAAACCAATGAATTCAGCATCGAAAATTCCTTCTTCATCAATTAATTCACCATCGAACTCTTCACCCCAATATGACCTTTGGGAAATTCAATATTCCAAAAAAATTTCCCCGCAACTAATCCTGGCATAAGTCATCAATATTAAATAATCAATAATGTTTAGGAAGTGAAGAAGACAAAGTGTTGGAACTTGAATGATAAAAATCACATACCAAATGACAAAAAGATGAGGGGATGATCATGGCAGAAATTTGGTCTTTGTCGGAAGCAGAATCAATTTATGAAATTTTAAAATAATGGTTGGAGATAACTTTGTGTACATATAAAGTTCTTGTTTGTTGCTTTTGTAGTAGAAGGTTTGACAATGGAATAACTGGCATAACTTAATGGCAATTCAACACAGATTTTTTAGATGATTATTTACCGACAAGTGGTTTCTACCATATTTGTTAAGGCTTAACACAATTTATTTGGCAAGTTGATGTCAGCTGAGTTTATCTCAACACCAAACCGTTTTCTATATTTTGAAATATGTTCACATAATTCTTCAATCAAATAGTTAAAATAAAAATTTGCAAAAAATTCATTTTCCTTATAACAAATTGGGCCGGCATTGTACCTATTTGATTTAAAACAATGAAGGTTTAATGAATGGTCCATCTACACATACTAATTAGGCCCAAAATCAAGATAGGTATGGGCTATATCTTTGCTACGCCAGAAAGAGTGGATTATCATCCATATTGCATGCTTCTGTTTTCTTAAAAATTCTACAAGTTTGTTTTCTATAAGCGATTAATATTTAGATGGGCTTATAAAGGTGACTCGTTTGGACGAGCTTATAAAAAAAAGTTATTTTTATGTCTTGTTTATTTTAAAAGTGTTTTTTATAAAAGGTCAAGCTATTTAATTTTTTTTTTAAAATATATATCTTTTAACTTCTGCTTTTTTAGAAGTTAAAATTTTTAACTTCTAAAAAAAATTAAATTTTTAGCTTTTTTTGTTACTTCTAATTTTTTCAAAGTGACATCCAAATGAATTTTGTAGTAGAAATGCTTTTTTTCTTCTTCTAAAAAAAGCAATTCTTAGTTAAAACAAAGTCCATCCAAACATACGAGTAAAAGAAATTATGGTTTTAAATTAACTATTAAATTTTTCCTCTTACACAAATGTCTTATTTTACATACCCTAACTTTATATTAATTTTTATACAATTTGAAGAAATTGATGACCAATAGTTGTGGGCAAAAAAAAATATATTATATATTAAGAACCTTGAGATCATCACCCCAAAAGCTAGCTCAAAGGGTGGGGAGTGCCCAAGGCCTTATAAAGGCCACATTAGTTGCCCACACAACCAATGTGAGACTATATATCTCAACACGTCCCCTCACGCAAGAGCCCTTTTAGCTAGAAGCGTGGAAATTGCACAGACCCAATTTTTGGTTCACCCAAGAACCTTGAGCTAGCTTTTGTGGTGGTGTATCCCAAGGTTCTTTACATGGTATCAGAGCCTCGCCCCCCCAACTTTCTCTTGTGGCGTTTCTTAGCACAGATAGGCTGGGCCTGTTGCATTGTCCACTCTTCAAGCCCAATGGGCTCTCGTGTGAGGGGACGTGTTGAGATATATAGTCTCACATTGATTGTATGTGCAACTATTGTGGAGTTTATAAGGTCTTGAGCACTCCCACCACTTGAGCTAGCTTTTGGGATGGTGTATTCCAAGGTTCTTTACATTATATATGCCTAAAAAAAGAAATTAATTGAATTTTATGAAGAAATGGCGGGAAGCCAAATATTTTCAAAACTTTGTTGCCAACTCTGATGCCTCGATTTGAACAGTTTTTTCAGACGGAACCAATCTCTCGTGTTTCCCTGCTGCCAAACATGGATTAATAGTTGCACTTAATGGTATGGAATCTTTTTTTTCTCTCATTGCTAACATCCTGTTTGTTTCCAAAAGACAATAATGACTCTATCGAATTGTTTTCGAAACTTACAATAAGAAAAAGATATAGCAAATAGATAGCAACATCGATGTTCATTTCTCAGACATGACTAAAGGTAATTTCTAATATTCTATTTCACTCAATTGCCATTCCTTATTCGATAACTTGATTAAGTGCAACAGTAACTGGTGGCAAAGAAAAAATCAGTTGCTTTTCATATAGTGATTCGAATTCCTTGAAAAGTTTAGTTTTGTATATAAAGGTAGGATATTTTTACTACCATATTTTTTTACTATCAGTCCACTACCACTTTAATCACCGTTAGATTCAAAAGTTTTTTTTTTTTTCTCTCTCTTCATTCAACTTTTCCTCTAATCTAATAGTGATTAGAGTGATAGTGGAGTGGTAGTAAAAAAAAAGTAGTTGTAAGAATATCCTAACTCTTGTATATATAAGGTGAAAAAGTTAATTAAAGGGTATGCAATTTTCTCCATATTTCAACTTAAGGAG